GGGAATCACACAACACTTGACAAAGATTATCCTTCATTACAAAAAAGAGCAAGAATCATTATTTACACTCTGTGTACTGGAAAAGTGAAGCTCTCTGAAAAAACGATTAACCAACTCTTCTAGCATAACATGTGAAGTAGCTAAACTGGGAATAGAACCTAAAGGTTCTGGCACCTAATTCTCTGTTGAAGGCACTAGGCTATGTTACATCCAGTTACACAAAACAGCACTGACATCATCAGCAGAAGTACAGTTTATCCCTTCTAGCATTTTAGAATGTCAGTCTCCATAACACTTGGTGTGTTTTTTTATTACAACACAGCAAGTATTAGATTTAATTACTATTAATTGTAATTAGGAAATGTAAACAGCTCTGTTAAAGCAAATCAATCTGTTGCTTTTTTTTTTTTTTTTTTTTTTTATCCCCTCCCTACAGTATTTCCCATTTAGCTTTGAGAAGAAATGATGGGAAATTGTGCGTCTGAGAAAAACCTGAGTATCTATGTGTTCCAGCCCTATTTTCAAGCCAGAAGTTTTAGAAATGCATCTGAGCTTTGGATACTTGCTGTGAGCTGGCAGTAAGATAACAGACAAATTTTTCATACATTTGCTTAAACCAGCCACAACTCTTTTTTAAACAAACAAAACTGAAAGCAGATGCTTAACGGATGCTCAGTATTATCAGTTAACTCCTAATTTTGGAGAAGCAGCTGAGTTTCCAGACACTTATCTGAACTCAACCTCTGAACTTCTTGAAACATGTCCAATACCTATTTCAATACCACAAATCAAGATCGTTGTCTGTGTTATTTTTATGTGTCTTCAGTGCACAGTTTTATACGATTTCCCTTGTAATACCACACCAAGTACCACCCACCGATTATAAAGATTCAATTGAAGTAGGTGACTGAAGGACAGAGTCTGGAGCTCTCAGGACTTTGTACCTGCAAATTCTAATGAAAATGAGTATAAACTGAGGGCAAGTATAACAAAGACATCAATGGAAAACATGGAGAGACAGAACAGTGTGATTCTCCATGCTTACTGTTGAACTCTGAAACTTTTGAGATTGATTTTTTTTTTGTCTCTGTTGACATTTGTCTATTTTTATAAGTGTATGCTTGTGCTATCCTATAAAGTTTCTTTCCTAGGAAAAGCCCTACACCATCCCAGTGAATCACAGAAGCTGAAAGAGCATATAGACTGGTGTACAGAAACATACTAAAAATATTTGTTTTGAATTTGAAGATTTGAATACAGGATTTTCTTTTAAATTAGGTGCATAAAAAAAAATCAAAATGAATCCCTACAACTTGTGAAAATGTTAGAATGAACACTGGTTCCTGGTGTTGCCATTTCTTATCCGCCTTGATGGACTAATGCCCCTTCAATGCAGTCTGGAATCTTAAAATTTGACAGAAAAAAATGATATGGAACTTCAAAACAACTATATTTGAGCTGCTCTTTAAAGTTGTAGGCCCCGTTATTTATTTATAACATCAAACATGCAATAATAATGTTATCTATGTGTCTGCATGTGTAGCAATTGAAACTGCACATCAGTTCTCAGAGAAGAGGCCAGACATGCATAAACACACTGATTTTCACTACTGATCACAACTTGCATTAAATGAGCAAATACGAATTGTCAACAAATCTCAGGCACAGAGTAGAAGAGCTGCACAGAGGATATTTCCAAGTTCTGACTCTATCTTAATGTCAAGCTAAAACTCATTCAGGTAAAAGTGACTGAAATTAAGGTCTAATAGAGCCTCATTTAGCCTTCTGGAAATTATTATTTGCTATAAAAAAGCTTGTATGAGAAGAATAGGTACTAGAGTGGCTGCTCTACAGCATCTAAAATCTACAGCATATTTTGTTGCTTTTACTGATGTGTACTCGCAGTAGATCTGAAAGTGTTCATGGCTGAACATTTACAGCCAACCAATTATATTGACAAACATAGTTGATTCTAGTGGTTTGACTTACTGACATAATGCTTACAGATGAGAAAAGAAAGAAGGAGAAAAATCCACAGAGGCCCAGTGAAAGAAAGAGGCAATGAAACAACTGAAACAGCAAATTTACTAGGCATTATCACCATGCCTAAGACAGAGGAAAAAGCCATCCAATGTTAAAAGATGAGCAAGGAAAGAAGCAGAAAATTGCTAGTACAATACATGAAGTCAGTGTTTTTGGTTTTACTTTTGTTTCAAATACTAAGGACAATTTTAAAAAGAAAACTACAAAATTAACTTTTGGTCCACTGACTGTTGAGGAAGAATCAGTAAATGCAGTGTAAGAAACTGATAGCAAGTTATCTAGAAGATAAAAATTCAAATCCCTTTTGTTCAGAATAATTACCTGCTACAGCAAAACCACATGTCAGTGTAGTTAGAAAGCAAAGCAAGCATCCACATTAATACAGCAGTGACCAGGACATTGAGATACTCATGTTCTGAGTTATTTTTCTGTGTAGCCTTGATCAAATCACTTATGCTTCGTTTTCCCAGTTGCTAGCTTAACCTGTGGAACAATTTCTTGCAGAAACTAAGTACAATCAAAAACTTCACAGCGATACGTTAGAAGTAAAGGTTATATTCCTTTTACTATAAAAAAGTTAATTGAATTCCAGTAAACAACTTTCCACAGCACACATATTTTAATGAAAAAAATGAAGAACCCAAAGAAAGCTAAAAAATTACAAGCATCACTGACCAATTCAACTTCTTGTTTCACTTTCAAGTTCTCATTTAGTTGAAAGTAATAACGTAAAGTCCTACATGCCGACACAGGCAGTTCAATAAATGTGTGATATTCAGAGCATTGTTATAGGCAAAATATATTGTTTTTAAAAATCGATGAGTGTGTGATGGCTACATGCAACAGCACAGCCTAATTTACCACTTTAAATATTATGAGTCTCTACTGACAACTCATCTCAGAAAAAGGTAGATAAAACAACTGTCAGAAGATGCGAAGTTATTTTATCTAAAATTAAAATCAAAATATGTACATGTATAGCATAAAACAATATTATAAAGTAAAAGGTAAACAAGAGAAAATAAAAAGAAAGTGGACACTTCATGAATGTGGTTTTGCTCTTCCCAGAACACAAAAATGAAAACACTAAAAAGTGTCTGATAAATTAAATAGTTTACTAGTCCAATATTATTAATAGTGAAATAAATTTAATAGACCTCAGTGTCCCAGGACATCATGCAGGAATGTATCCTCTCTTAAAAATATATATTATTCACAGACATAAGGGTAACATTTTCTGTTACACTGATAAGGATAAATTCTAATTCTGTGTGTATCTGTACAAAGATAGTAAATGTTGTGAGGACCATGTTGTTCTGTTTTACAATTATTATTTTGCAATTTCTTCAAAAACAGAACTAACCCAAGATCAGCTCGGTAATTTTATCAAGTCCCACTCATCATAAAGTAGGGTAGATCAGTTTTGCAAGAGAAACCAGGTACTGTGTTACCTTTATTGTTTAGAACTGTGGTGACATGCATTTGCTATTCCTTGTACTGGTTTTGGCTGGGATTTTCTTTATAGCAGCTCACATGGTGCTGTGTTTTGGATCTGCGACCCAAACAGTGTTGATAACACACCAACTTTTTAGCTACAACACTGTGACAAGCAGCATACTGGAGATCGTAAAGGTACTGCAGAAATGTACGAAGTATTATCTCAATCTTGGCAGTATAGTTAAGCTGACAGTAAAAATTTCCAGTTAAATAATTGGGAAATGTAGCTGTCCTGCTGTGACACAAAGATTTCCAATTTTTATTTTTATTTTTTACAAGTTCTGTGGCAAGAAATGTGCAGCTTTAATAGTGTCCAATAAATTTAAAATAAAATAAATATATTTATTAAGCTCTATTGGCAGGGAGAAGGGTGAAGAAGAATACTAGTTTATTCAACAGTACAACTTAACAAAGACTACTACTTTTAAAACATCCTGTTTCCACTTCACAAATTATATAAGATAACCTCATGAAACAAAGTCATTATAAAAGCACTACAAGGATCTTTATAAAATGGATTAAGCTAATTCATAAAGTATTACAACAATTTGAATGTAAATAATAGGAAGTACACATTCTGCCTGGAACAGTAGATTCAAATAGTTCACTTGACTTCTCAAACAGAAAATTATTAAATTGTTCACAATTTCTGGGAGAAATAATAGCACCTTGGTAATTTTTAATTAAGAATTAAGAATTCTTAATACAGTCATCAGAAATACTGAGATACTTTGTTTATTCTAACAGACTGTATGTACTCCCTGCAAACCTGGAGAAGAAAAATCTATTCCCTTACCTCTTCCACAGCTCCAGAGACCCCAGTGCTGGCACATGCAGCACTGTTGGAAATATATAGTGTAGGAAAACAGGAGAGAGCAAGACTGCTATTTTCAACATCAGCAACATGCACTTACATGTCTTGTACTGATCATCAAATTGCACCCTCAGACCTCATCTATTTTATCTCTAGACTCTACCCTCACAGATTACTTCCTTATGTCTGTTTTTGTCTCACTCAAGGCAAAAATCTTAAATCGAAATTAGTCAGCTAATAGGCCCACACCATTGATACAAAACAGCATCACTTCATACATGTACCTTCTCTCAAAGGGTACTATTCATTCTAGTCTTTTATAGACTTTAAGATTTATATTCTATCTGAAAAATGTGGTCTGTGATATGTATCTTTTTCATTTTACCTACAAATAATGATAAAGAACAAAAGCACAAAATAATCAGTAAGAAATTTGTGAGATAAAACAATCATCTTTGACAAGTGAATTCCAAGATCCCTGTATCCATTACTTTTAACACATATATTTATTGTATTAGGAACATAATCCATAACAGATAGTATGAAATTTTAGAGGCAACAGGTACTTAATGCAGCATACATTATGTACAGAACACCTTGTAAAACACTATGCTGTTTACCGATATTTTTCTTCAAATGTGCTTACCTTTTTGGAAGAATTCTTCTAATTTCTCCTTGAAGGGCTGGAGATGCTCTTCTGAAGACTCTCTGCAAACTAACTTCATCTGCTTTTCAGACGCTATAAAAAGAATTTGAAAGACATTAGATGTTAGAAAGAAGTAGATGTCAACACTGCAGAAGCCTACATCCAAATTAGTCACCTACGCATACTGTAGAGTGAATTAAAATAAATAGTCACTATATTCTAGCAATTACATTATAATACAAAATACTGAATAGTCTAGTATACCAATTAGAAAACTCTGTGTGTATTTAAAGAGTGGAATTTGTCTTTAGTAATGACTTGTTTGTTTTAATACTCCAGTTCTGAGCTGAGACTTGCTGCTACCACAGCTTTCCACACACACAAATTCTAGACAATATTTAAAGACCAAAACTTTGTTCTGTGGTGAGTGGAGCATGCCTTCTATCTGGACTGATTTTGATCCATCAGTACCAGGCATGTGTACTCAAGCATTTTTCTAACACAGATGCAGAAATTTAGCTTTACTTAAGTATTCAAATTACAGGCCATGACATGAAATAGTGGAAGTCTATAAGAAGAAAGTTAACTTACATAACTTATAATTTGTTTACTATTTAGTCTGTTACTTTAAGACCTGATGCCATGTCAATTTATAAAATCTCCAGGTTATTTGCCTAGACATATTTGCCTAGGTATTTAACATTACCTAGAACTTCTGTTAAACTTTCAATATTCTAGTGTTCCACATTAAAGATGAAATTAGACTTTTGGAAATCAAAACGCAATTACCTTCCATTTAGCAACTGACTTTATGAAATACTATAAGATTTTTTTTTCCACAACTCTTAATTCCTATGCAACTAAATTTAGATAGAAATTTATTTTGGAGTTAAACCTGATAGTTAAAGTTTGGCTGCATGAAACATTTTCACACCATATTGCTGCCACCACTATATAATTCAACTTATTCCAGCAAAAATTAATACAAAACTGTGGAAACAGAAACTGAGAATTTTAAATTAACGTGCAATGGAAGGTTGAAAACACATGCATACGTTTTATTGTACATCTAAAATTGTGTTGCTTACTGTTATTGCCTATGGTAGTTTTGGGCCACCAGGACTTACAGCTTGTGAATTAGAAGGAGTTTTCTATATCTATTCAAGCAAACCATAAAACTTCAGAATAAGACAGGGACATTGGAATTCAATATAAAAAAAAATCTAGCATAATAACTGAGATGTTACTTCAATTTCCAGCTGAAATTTTACACAAAGCAGCAGCTACAGGTCTGTGACTAATTTTCGTCACGCTTAAAAAAATCCACAAAAAGTATATAAGGTAATATTGAGAAATTATTCTAAAGCAATATAAAATGACAAAAGGGTAAAAGTATTAATACACATTATATTGTTGCATTTGATAGAGTGACTACAGAATGCACACGATTAATATAAACACCTAAGGTTGATGATTGCATTAATGACTGCAAGCCAGTCATTATTTTATAATAACCTTATACAAATACATTTGTAAAAATCTACAGAGAAACAGATACGAACAGATATATAATAATAAGCTTGTAACTACAGTAGCATCAAAACATACCCTAACATACTCTAAAAAGGTGTTTTTGCAAACTTAGTGCTACTGATGTATTATCTTGAGTATTCTAGCCTCCTAGATGCATCCTACAAGCATTAACAACACAAGATTATTAGAACAGTTAATTGGATATGTCCCATGGAAATAATTAAGTGACCAAGATTAGGACCAATTGTTTCTAAGTTAATTAAAAAGAACACACATGTAAAACCCCTTCAATAAAAAATATATATTTTTTAAATAAAGACAACTAACATTAACTACATTCAGATGAAAAGAGCTAAAGAAAAATACTGAAAAGTAGAAATGCCAGTGTACAGAGAATAAGCTGATTTGGGTTGTGAATTCTTTAGCAGAATCTTAACATCTTTAACAAGAGGATCAACATTTGGAGTGAGGAGAGAGAATGAGTAAAAGGAAAGAAGTATCCGAGATGATCAAACGGGACACATAACATAGAGCAAGTCAGTCCTGGGCACTGATTAAAACTCTAACTTTGAGATCATACAAAATGAGATGAAATGCCAGTTAGCATTGCTTAAGTCATCTTAAGGCAATGAAACTGAAAGAGACAAAAGTCAAGTAAACGCTGGAAGATTCTAAGAAATTACATTATTGGAAAGCCTGAAAAAAAAAAAATAAACAACAACAACAAAAAACACCTTAAATGAGCCTCTGATGAAGATATTTACTTAGACAAAAACTACCTATCTGGAACAAAAATCTACCTATCTAATTCCCAAAGTTCTTTAGATAACTGTAAGAATAAACTGAAGTGCCTTAAGAAAGTTTTAGATTTGAGCTAAGGCAATCAAGGACAATGGTGATGAGGTGAAAATCACAGGAGCAATGTCTTTGCCCTGTACTGCTTAATCCTCCTTTAATTGACTGAGTTTAGGTTACACTTCACTCAAAGACATATAGTTCTGTTCTATAAAGGAAAATAAAAATATTTTTCTGGGCAACTGAAGGTTGACTAGGTCTGTTTGAACTCAACTGCCCTTAAATATTTGAAAAAAACTTTAATTTATTTACTTGCTAAAGCTGAAAATAAGACAGAGAATAGATATGGAGTAAGTGGCTGAAGGCAATTTTAACTTCAGTTTGAACTGCAGTCTTAAAAATTATGTATTCCTGCTGAAATGTCTCCATTCTATTTCAGTATCCCCTTCAATAATCAAGTGTCCAATGCAGAATAATGATTCTTTCTCCAAAATTTATAAGAAAGTGATGTCTAGGACTACCAACAAGATGTATCTTCCAGGCTGCTGAACGTTGGAACTTCATTAAACTTGCCCAGGATACAGAATAGAGATGGAATAAAGATATGGAAAAGAATAGTAAAAGTGTGTTCAAAGGAATTGCAAATCAGATACAAGTAAAGACACTGAATGATGATTTTCATGATCAGGTTAAATCAAGGATTTTGAATAAAATGGCAGTTGTATTCTATAAAAAGTTAGCTGATCAACCCTATGACATGCCTCAGTTCCACACAACGTGAAGGTTTCTGCTACCTACCATTTACTGAACTTCATGTTATTAAGCTCAATGATACTTTCCTAATGTTTATTCACAAGTTTTCTTGAAATATACTAATATTTAAAAAAAAAATCTACCAACTCAAACAAAACATTATATAAAGAAATTAAAACTGAACAGTTCTGCTCCATTCCTTGCTCTGATTTAAAATGAAAATTATTTTAGTAAGGTTTTTTACTGGAATGATTCTGAAGTAAGGATCCTAATAAACATTCATTCTTTGACATACATTCTGAGAATTTTCTTTCTGAGAAAAAAAAAAAACAAAAAAACCTGAAATTTTGAGGAATCTGAAGTAATTCTGAGGAATCTGATAGCTAACATATCATACCAAATGTCCTCTCTCACCACCTTATTCCAAATTAATCATTTGAGGAACTAAACAACCTGCTTCAGCATTAATGAGCTCAAGCAGATGCAAATTCTCCATTACTTTACTAAACCTTTGGGTCATTTTTTTGGTATGCATTATATGTTAGTCAAATTAAATGTAATATACTACTTTGAAAATTGTTTATTTCTAAATGAGCTATTGCAAAAAAAAAAAAAAAAAAAAAAAAAAAAAGAAGAAAATATGAGTGTGTAACAGTATTTGAAAGCCCTTACAAATTTTTGGACGTACATCATGCTTCACCCACTGCAAATCTTGGCCATAGAAATGGAAACCATTAGCAAAACATTAGAACAAAGCTGGAAACTGCTGATTATCAGTTTGCCACTGTCTTCAGATTTAATGCAGTATTTGGCTCAAATAGTTCTTTAAAAATCCCCAATATAAGTGAAAATATTTACAAAATAGAATGTCTCTCACTTAATGCCTATTGGGCAATAGTCTTTTAAAACTCCACAGACACTTGTAAATCTGTCAAAAGAATCACTGCCCATAAACAAACTTTCATGTAAAGAGCATTTCAGTGTCAATCAGACTGGATTTGGAATTTTTTAAGCATCATTTTTAAAGTAAACGCAAAACCAGAAATAGTTTAATGTTGATAACAGTAAATTACTAACTATTTACTCACCAGAACCCACCAGTAGCATTTACAGGAATCATCCTGACAGTGCAACCATGTATCAACACCATGAATTCCTATAAACCTGTCACTGACACTATCCCCCATGAGTTATGCTATTGTGAAAGTTGCTAACAACCCCCACTTCTCTTGTCTGTTCACAGCCTGGCAGCTTATACTGCCAACCTTGCTTTTTTTTTTTTTTTTTTTTTTCCTTGTTCCAATGCAGCTGATCTTTGACAGAAAGGTTGCTATTTGATAATTCATTTTTAAAACCCTTTCCTTTCCTGTTCCAAAGGAGATTTGAAACCATACCTCAAATGAATTCAATGTTTTACCCAAGAAACCCAAATTTCTGTATGACTTTTTAAAGTGCAGGAATCCCACTCTTTAGGCCTATATACCCAAACTTCAGCAAGATGTTTGTAAATATAAATTAATTCATTTTCCTCATTATTTATTTTATATGGTGCAGCTTTATTACATTTTTTTACTTGCAAACAGCATTCCAAGCTAAATAAAAAATTACGGGAGATACATGTTTAACTTCTGAATGCTGTTGCAGCATTTGATTATATTCTTCTGCTATTAAACGTGACTTTAGATACATATTTACAGCAGGTATGCACATACAAGCATTAGCCTAATTACAGTCCATTATACCTATACCATTTGCAACTCTTGTCCTTATTTATAGTCCTGCAAGTTAATGTTCAATTTCATATAGAATTTTAAACAAGTGTGGAGACAGGAAGAGATGTATCACGATTCCTTCTGAGTGCAGTCCAAAACATTTGACAACTTCTAACTGCAAGTAGTTATACTGCTTTTGAGTTATTTTCCAGAATAATTTCAGAGACAGCATTTTACTTGCAGGTTTGGACTGCCATTGATAATCAGTCATTGATATCAGCGATGGCAACACACAGAAGG